CTACCAGTAGTATCGCACAAGGCGGTGGCGGAAGTTTCAAGCCTATACGAGAGCTTCGTTGTTGTGCATCACGGATGGCAGAGCGAATCCACTGATAGACTGAAAGGTAGTTGCGGTTGGAGGTGTGTTTTTTCGAGTGGTTGCAATGGTTGCAGTGGTCGCCTGCACAACTGCTGGATGTACTGTGGTGCAGCGCAGCCGTAGTTGTAGTTTTAGTGTGGTGGAGTTGTAGTTTTATGTAGTGTAATTAATGTAGTGCAGTTGCAGTTGCATGTGTGGTGGTGTAATGAGCGTAGTGTAATTTAATGTAGGGTAGTGTAGCGTAGTTTAGTGTGGTGTGGTGTAGTGTGGCATAATGTTGTTTAGTGTGGTGTAGTGTGGTGTAGTGTGGTGTAGTGTAGTGTCGTGTAATGTACTGTCGTGTAGTGTAGTGTACTGGAGTGTAGTGCAGTGTAATGTAGTTAGTGTAGTGTAGTTGTATTTGTAGTGTAGCGGAGAGTAGTGCAGCGTAATGTGGTGTAGTTGTAATTCTGGTTGTAGTTGTAGTTGTAGCTGCAGTTGTCGTGCAATGTAATTAGTGTAGTGTCATGTAATTAGTGTAGTGTAATGATATTAGTGTAGTGTAGTGTAATGTAGTGGTAGTTGTAGTTGTAGTTGTAGCTGTAGTGTGGTGAAGTGAAGTGGAGTGTAGAGTAGTGTAATTAGTGTAGTGTAGTGTAATGTAATTTTGAATGTAATGTAATGTAGCGTACTTGTAGTTGTAGTTGTAGTTACTGTACTGTAGTGTAGTGTAATTGAGTGCAGTGTAGCGTAGTGTAGTGGAGTGTAGTGGAGTGTAGTGCAGTGTACTGTAATTAGTGTAGTGTAGTGTAGTGTAGTGTAATGTAGTTGTGGTTGCAGCTGTAGTTGTAGCTGTAGTGTCGTGGAGTGTAGCGGTGGTTGTAGTTGTAAGTGCTGCAAACCCTCACGTTTTGCTCACTTCTGACAAGGTGCACAATCCCTTGTGCCGGCCATGCGAAACGACATCTGAACGTCCAAAAGCGGTCCGAACATGTGGTGGTTTTAACATTTTGACTTGGACATGTGCTTCGCGCCACAGCGGCGTGCACTTTTTCGACATCTCAACTTCCAAAAGTGGTCCGAAGCTGGTGTGTTTTGTACATTTTGACTTGGAAATGTGCTTCGCGCCACAACGGCATACACGTTTTCGACATCTCGACTGCCAAAAGTGGTCCGACACTGAGGTGCTTTGTGCATTTTCACTTCGAAATGTGCTTCGCGCCACAACGGCGTGCACTTTTTCGACAGCTCAACGTCCAAAAGTGGTCCGAGACCGCCAGTTTTTTAACACTTTTGACTTCGAAATGTGCTTCGCGCCACAACGGCGTGCAACTTTTCATCTCTCATCTGGCCAGATGGCTCCGCACCCGCCGCTTTAGCGAGCCTACTTTTCGACCCTCTGGAGCCACAAATCATTGGAAAAACACGGCGTTTCGCGACTTTCCTACCTTTTCGCGCGCCTGGATCTTCTTTCTTCTTACTCTTTCTCTTCTCTGGTCTTCTCTCTTTTGCTCTTCTCTTCTCTGACTCTTCCCACCTCTGCTTTTCCATCTGTCCATACTGTCGGAAGTTTGACTTCTAAACTTCCTTCGGCCAAGCAGCACCTATAACTAGTGAGGGTTTTGTGGGGCCAGAAAGGTCAAAGAATCCCCCCAACCGAGTCTCAACTGCTGAGCTTTGTTGAACATCTACCCATACAGGATTTTGAGCCATGGCCCCGACACAGCGCGCCTGAAAATGGATGAGTTGGATCTGAAAGCTGCCAGGGAATTTGCCTCCTTAAAACGCCCCTGGCACAGCTTGGAAGCTTGGAACGACTTGCCCGGTGGCGGGTTGTGGTTTCGTTTGCAGGTTGAAGTGGTTCAAGTGGTTGAAGGGTTGAAGTGATTGAAGGGGTTGAAGGATGTTGTTTCAAGTGGGGTTGGTTTTGTGGAATGCAGTTGATTTGAGGTTCAAGTCGGGTTGATTTGTTGAGTCTTGGGCAGTTTATGATGTTGATGATCAAAGGAGATGTTGATGATCAAAGGAGATGTTGATGATCAAAGGATTGGTTGGTGTGAAAAGAAGCTTAGAAAACAATATGTACCCTCTGGTAAATCAATCATTGTTTTCTGGAAAGTACACCATTTAGTTCGATAATTTTTCCATGAACATGTTCATTTGATGGCCAGTGGACTACTCACCCCTAACATCCATTAAGTCCCCATATAGTTCGATGATTTCTCACTAGCCCCATACTATTCCCATACCCCGGTTTCATAACACCTTAAGTGACTGGGCATAACTGGGCCATGTTTCCTACCACCTTTTGCTGCAGGCACTGATGCAACCACGCCTTAATTGTGTCCGACTCATCTTGCACGACCATGTGCATGAAGACCTTAAGGGAGAACACCCCTACAACCTCTGAGAGCAAACATGTGGGATAAATATGTTCCGTTGACATGCCGTTATATCATGTTTTTGCATTATTAGTGTCACTAGCACCATTACACTGTGCACATACTACACATATAATACCTATATGTATATATATCTCTCTATATATATATGCACACATATATACATACCCCATATACATACAAATATAATCAAATATATATTTATGCATTTATGCATCTATGTTTACATACAAACATGCATACATACACTACAACGACGGGCAACACATCATCATCATCATCATCATCATCATCATCATCATCGACAACATCATCATCATCAATTAAATGTAGATTTTAATGTTCCCTGATATCTTTGTTGATCTTCCCAATGGAATGTAGCCTTTAACGGGGGTCGGATTCTAATATTCCCTGATAATACCTTTGTTGATCTTCCTATTTAATGTAAAGTTGCAACAACATTTGATTGGGAATGGGAACCCTCTACGCTGCAACGCTGGGGCAAAGCAGCGGCGTTGCGCGTATGTAAATAAATAAATATATATATATGATATGATCTCAATATGCATATGCATACGTATGCGTATGCAATGTATATATATATATATAAATATGCGTGTGTATATGGTACCCCCAAATATATATATATGTGTGTATGTACACCATAAGAGGCTTTTACAAACTTCCCCCAACTGGTTTCAGGCTTAGGGTCGGGCGCTCGTGGCGCAGTGTGGCAGCAGGACAAAATCGGCCATCTGAAGGCAGCCGTGTGATGGCGATCAAAGCATCTGCAAAATGCTGAAAAATGCGGATCGAACCATCAAAGAGATATTGAATGATATTGAAACAAGGTGATTTAAATTGATTCAACCATTACACAATATTAAACATGGTGCTGGTACCTGACAATGTTGGGAAACAACTCTAAATCAAATGGACATATCGCGAGTTTCCCTCTTATTTTTTTGCGTCATGGCCTGCTTTGACATTGGGATACACTGCTAGTTGCAGGTGACTGCAGGAGACTGCAGGTGCCTCAAGCTATGGCGGGGTTGAGATGTGCGCCTGCACCAGAGATGTTTTCTGGTTGGTGGTGCCATAACCATCTTGAAAATATGAGTTAGTCAATGGGAAGGATGACATCCCAATTATGGAAAATAAAAACAAGATGGAAGCCACGAACCCGAATGTATTCACGTTCTTAAACTACGAGTTCAAACCTCTGCAAAAGGAAAACGAACATTTTTTCCCGCATCGTGCTTTCATATCGTCTCAGCGAAAGCACCTGAGCAACAGTTCACAAAGAGACAACTAACCAGCACAACAACATCACCACCAGCACAACAACATCAACAGCGCAATGAAATCACAACGAAATCACCGGCGCAACGAAAGCACCAGCGCAACAAAATCACCAGCACAACAACATCACCAGCGCAACGAAATCACCAGCACAACGAACGCACCAGCGAACATCACCAGTGCAACAAAATCACCAGCGCAAGGAAATCACCAGTACAACGAAATCACCAGCACAACGAAATCATCAGCACAACAACATCACCAGTGCAACAAAATCACCAGCACAAGGAAATCACCAGAACAAACGAAATCACTAGCACAAGGAAATCACCAGCACAACGAAATCACCAGCACAACAACATCACAAGCAGAACAACATCACCAGCACAACGAGATCACCACCACCTGCCACACTCCACACTCCACACTTTACACTCCACACTCCTCACTCCTCACCCAACACACTACACACTACACTCCACACTCCACACTCCACACTCCACACTCCACCACACTCTACACTCTACACACACCACACTCCTCACACCACACTCCACACTTGACACTCCACACTCTACACTTTACACTCCACACTCTACACTTTACACTTTACACTCCTCACTCCACGCTCTACACTCCACACTTTACACTACACACTCCACACTCTACACTTTACACTTTACACTCCACACTTTACACTTTACTTTCCACTTTACACTCCTCACTCCACACTTTACACTCCACTCCAAACTCCTCACTCCTCACTCCACACTCCACACACCACACACTACACTCCACACTCCACAACACTCCACAACACTCCACAACACTCCACAACACTCCACAACACTCCACAACACTCCACAACACTCCATAACACTCCACACTCCACCACACTCCACCACACTCTACACTCTACACACACCACACTCCTCACACCACACTCCACACTCCACACTTGACACTCCACACGCCCCACTTTACACTCAACACTCCTTACTTTACACTCTGCACTCCACACTCCACACTCCACACTCTACACTTTCCACTTCACACTCCACACCCTACACTTTACACAAAACACTCTACACTTCACACTCCACACTTTACACTCTACACTCCACAATTTACACTCCACACTTTACACTCTACACTCCGCACTCCACACTCTACACTTTACACACTCTTACACTCCCCACTCCACACTTTACACTCCACCCTCCTTACTTTACACAAAGTTTGCACAAACTACTTCCCATTACTACTGTGTACTACAAAGCTTGGATAAACGAATTCACTAGCACAACGACATCACCAGCACAACAACATCACCAGCACAACAACATCACCAGCACAACGAGATCACCACCACCTGCCACACTCCACACTTTACCCACTGCACACTCCACACTCCACACTCGACACTTTACACTCCACACTCCACACTCTACACTTTACACTCCACACTCCACACTTTACACTTTACACTCCTCACTCCACACTCTACACTTTACACTCTACACTCCACACTCGACACTTTACACACTCTACACTTCCCACTCCACACGCACCACACTCCTCACTCCACACTCCACACTTTACACTTTACACTCCACACTTTACACTCCACACTCCACACTTTACACTCTACACTCCACACTTTCCACTCCACACTCCACACTCTACACTTTACACTCCACACTTTACACTTTACACTCCTCACTCAAAACTCTACACTGTAAACTCCACACTTTACACTTTGCACTTTACACTCCGCACTCCACACTCTACACTTTACACTCTACACTTTACACTCCACACTTTACACTTAACACTCCACGCTTTCCACTTTACACTCCTCACTCCACACTTGACACTCCACACTCCACACTCTACACTTTACACTCCACACTCTACACTGCACACTCCACACTTTACCCACTGACAACTCCACACTCCACACTTGACACTCCACACTCTACACTTTACACTCCACACTCCTCACTCCCCACTCCACACACTACACTCCACACTCCACACTCCACAGCACTCCACACTCCACACTTGACAATCCACACTCTACACTTTATACTCTACACTCCACACTCCACACTCCACACTCGACACTTTCCACTCCACATTCCGTTCCACACTCTACACTTTACACTCCTCACTCCACACTCCCCACTTTACACTAAACACTTTACACTCCACACTTTACACTCCACACTTTACACTCCACACTTTATACTCCACACTCCACACTCTACACTTTACACTCTACACTTTACACTCTACACTCCGCACTCCACACTCTACACTTTACACACTCTAAACTCCCCACTCCACACTTTACACCCCACACTCCTTACTTTACACAAAGCTTGCACGAAGCACTTCCCAGTACTACTTTGTCGAAGGAAGTTTAGAAGTCAAAGTTCCGACGATATGGACAGATGAAAAGCAGAGTAGGGCAGAGGCAGAGAGAAAGAGAAAGATTAGAGGAGAGAAGAGTAGAAGAGAAAGAGTAAGAAGAAAGAAGATGGAGATGCGCGAAAAGATGCGAAAAGGTAGGAAAATCGCGAAACACTACAAAGCTTGCACAAAGTACTTCCCAGTACTACTTTGTACTACAAAGCTTGCACAAAGTACTTCCCAGTACTACTTTGTACTACACAGCTTGCACAAAGTCGTTCCCAGTACTACGTTGTACTACAAAGCTTGCACAAAGCACTTCCCAATACTACTTTGTACTACAAAACTTGCACAAAGTCGTTCCCAGTACTACTTTGTACTACAAAGCTTGCACAAAGCACGTTCCAGTTTTACTTTCTACTACAAAGCTTGCACAAAGTCGAGGAAAAGCAGAGACTCGACGCAGCAAAACGAGCGATGTTTTGCAGCTTCCCTTATAGACACGGCTTTGCAGCTTCCCCCATAGACACGGCGATGTGAGCGCAGCAAAACGAACGAGGTTTTGCAGCTTCCCCCATAGACACGGCGGTGCCAAAGGACAAGCAGAGACTGAGTTTTTGCAGCTTTCCCCATAGACACGGTGACGTGAGCGCAGCAGAACGAACGAGGTTTTGCAGCTTCCCCCATAGACACGGCGACTTCCCCCATAGACACGGCGATGTGAGCGCAGCAAAACGAACGAGGTTTTGCAGCTTCCCCCATAGACACGGCGGTGCCAAAGGACAAGCAGAGACTGAGTTTTTGCAGCTTTCCCCATAGACACGGTGACGTGAGCGCAGCAGAACGAACGAGGTTTTGCAGCTTCCCCCATAGACACGGCGACGTGAGCGCAGCAGAACGAACGGAACCCTTCGCTACGCATTCGGGAAAAATATTTGAAACCACCAACCAGTTTTTTGTTTCATCTTCTTGCAATATCTGTAAATATCTGTAAGTTGATCTATGTTTTTTTTTGTGCAGTGGGCCACCATGGATCCTTTGCCACTTCCGTCACAAGAGGCATGTGGATGTCTTGGATTCCTAAGCATCCTCGATGCACGGCATCACATGTTCAATTTTTGGGTATCCTATGGTATTTATATGTATTTATACATTTAAACTCATATGATAAACTCATATAGCAATTGAACGTATTGCTTATCCTGTTTTATTCTCAAAGAAACTCATAAATAGGATTTATTTTTGCGTTTGCAACCAGTACTTAGATTGAAATGGTTCAGGAGCCAAAGCCATTCATAGCAAATCTCCAACCCAAAATGTTCAGGTCCAATCTAACTTATAGGTATATATATATATGTACATAAGACTCAAGTATCAACAGTATCAGTCCAAGGTCTACCCGGTCTACCCAGTTCATATTGAAACACCCAGAGCAGAGAAATCGTGGTTTCGACGCCCCGGAAAAAAAAAAATCTCATTGAAAAATCCTCATCCCATTTCTATGCTTGAACTCTTGAACATGAAAAATTCTGCGAAACCACTCTCCCAATATATTTCCATGTTTTTTCCCTCTATTAAAACCACTAACAAAAAGCCATCATCAACCGTTGTCAAATGTGATTCTTTGGTGGATCAACCACTATGGTCCACTATGAACTTACTATGAACCACATATGTTCCATTACTAACCACATATTTTCCACGTTTTTAACCTTTATGAACCGCTATGGTCCACGTGTTTGACATCTATTAGCCATATATGTTCAACTGCAAACCACTGTTAACCATTACTATCCACTGGAAAATAGATGGAAGTCTAGATTCTCCACAAAAAAATCCTTGGTTATCTTGGTTAACTATCCACTATCCATTAACATTACTATTAACATTACTATCCACCACCCCGTGCGCCCCGTGCGCCTCCGGCTCCGTCACAAGGGTGGCCTCGTTGGACCTGAAAAAGGGGCCGACCGCCAGGCCATGGGGTCGATCTGACCTCTATACAGAAATATATTTATTCAATGTATTTTTATATATTTATATATTATGTGATTTACTATATAATTAACTAACTATGATATATATATATATAAATAAATAATGATATATAACTATATATAATTACATATAATTATGTATATATATATGTTATACAATGTTATACATGTATACATTAGATGTAATGACTTACTGCATGTGGTTTTCAAGGCTCTATCCATCTTTGGACTTGGAACAACTTGTTCTGATTTACAATTAAGTGTGGAAATTACATATGATAATTTCCCGTGACTGCCTTATGACTTATACATACTTGTACAATAGATTGTCATCAAATGAGTGGAGGATTAACCGATTAACTATCAGTTTCTGGATCAAAGCAATACAACAATTTCATCCAAATTTAATAAAGGAGTGACCTTCAATAAACTAGGATCAGCCAGGGGTGAACACAGTGAACACGGCACCTGAAATAATGCCAAAACATTGCCTTCAGGAATCAATCGAATGACAACACAAACAAAAAAACATGTTACATGCTGTTACCAGAACAATGGCAACATCAAGCAACAATGCATGTCAGAATTACACTAATCCCCTCCTCCTAATACGAAACGTCCCCCGAATACTAAAAACAGGCGTCCATCTCCAAATTTGATTCTTAATTGATCCCCTTTTGAAAACAATTTAAAAATCAACCTGCCTTTTGTGGGTTTCCCCCCTTAATACTAAAAACTAGTCAACCCCGGGGTGTTTATTATTAGGGTCCTTCCGATTTTTTTAAATTTTTTATAATAAGGTTTTTAATTTAGTATTAGGGGGAAGCTTCGAAATCCAATTTTTTGGCAATATTTTAATTTTGTTATAAAAAGAAATTTAATTGATTTTGAAATCAGAAAAAAATATTAAGGGTCTTAATTTAATAGGAGGGGGAAGCTTCGAAATCAAATTTTGCCAATATGTTAATTGTGTTATATAAAGAATTTTCATTGATTTTGAGATAGGAAAAAATAGTTTTTATTATTAAGGGTTTTAATCAAATAATATTAGGGAGAAGCATCGAAATCCAAATTTTGGCAATATTTTAATTGTGTTATATAAAGAATTTTCATTGATTTTGAGATAGGAAAAAATAGTTTTTATTATTAAGGGTTTTAATCAAATAATATTAGGGGGAAGCATCGAAATCCAAATTTTGGCAATATTTTAATTGTGTTATATAAAGAAGTTTAATTGATTTTGGGATCGGAAAAAATAGTTTTTATTATTAAGGATTTTAATTTAATAGGAGGGCGAAGCATCGAAATCCAAATTTTGGCAATACTTTAATTGTGTTATATAAAGAATTTTCATTGATTTTGAGATCGGAAAAAATAGTTTTTATTATTAAGGGTTTTAATCAAATAATATTAGGGGGAAGCATCGAAATCCAATTTTTGGCAATATTTTAATTGCGTTATATAAAGAAATTTAATTGATAAGGATTGGCAATAGATTTGGGGTGAAATGCAAATGATTTGGGATGGTAAATGCCCCTATAAATATTTCCAGGAAATCATAATCCCATCCAACATCATTCAATTATTCCGTAAGTTCTCCCGGGGGCCATCCAGCCCCCAGCCCTCATCCCGCTAATCCTTTTGCTGTGGCATGATCCAAAATAAATCTACTTTTTTACTTGACACTTGATTCGGGGGGGTGATCTACAAGTTTCGTCCGAAACTCCCCTAAATCAGGTCATTTTGGAGTTCTATCTACGAAACCCAAATCAAGTATATAGCAAGTAAAATAGTTGATTTAAATGCTCTACTTTGTAGATGTCAACATTGGAAGTTTGAAGTCCAAGATCTGAGTTTTTCAATTGAAATTTGTAGAGATTCCAGGGAAAAGGGATGTGTTGTAGATGTCTACTGCTGAAAATCACAGGCTGAGATCTACGACATGCTCAGCAAACCTAGGATTTAGGAAAGTTTCAATTGAAACTTGCAGAAGTCAATATCCATTTTTTGGACATGGAGATCTACAAGATCACCTTTTCTGCTTGCATTAGATTTGGGATCAAGACTTCAGGGGTCCTTGCCAAGCAATAGTACGCCACCAAGAAGTCAACATACACCATATCAAAGGAATATTTAGGCCCCCAACTCAATGGGCATCACACATATTTACAAATATGTAGAATAGTAATAGTAGATCGTCAGATAGGTTTAGCACTTGGGTCCCCAAGAAGTCAATGTATACTATACAAGTTTAGGTCCCCAACTCAATGGACATTACAAATATATACAATAATGCTAGCCAAAATTGGGACCCCAAATCAAATGCTTTTGGCCCAAGATCAAGTGCTATTCCTTTGATTTTGAGATCGACCAAAAAAAAATATATCCCCCTTGCAATTCGGGTCCCCACCCTGACCCCTGAATCTTTAAGGGACCACTGGTAGCCTCTTAAAGAATGCGAACCAAAGCAAATTTCAGCCTTAAAGAATCTAACCCCAATGAACCAAGATTGCACACAGTAGCCACACATCTTCCATTAAAGGATTGGAGATCCAAGTTGCACACGAAGGGGTGCCCCTTTAAAGGATTGGATACCCAAGTTGCAGTCGAATGGACGACGGCGCAGTCAAGCATCATCAATAAGATGCGCATGCAATCATATGAGAACACATAGACTTATTTATTTGTGTCCATATTAGCATTATTAGAATTTATTAGGCATCGAATTTTGAAAGCACATCTTTAACATTCTTCAAATCTGGAAGGTGTTTTAACACAAATTCTTGCATTTACATGCATTTACAATTCTCCTTGGAATTATCCTGCTCACATGGACTCCAGCATTCTTTAGACAAAAAACGGAGGTCCACCTTGCACTACTGAAATGGCACATCTAGAGAATGCCTACCTAGGATGCAAGGGGGTCTAAGACCATCTAAAAAATCATGCCCCAGGCAACCAACAACAACAAATACCAAAAATACACAAAACAAAAAACAATACAAAAGTAAACCTCTAAAAAATAGGGCGTCCATGTTAGCCATGTGGACATCAACAAACATAAAAAACACCAAACGTACCCAAATGATTCCTTTGCACACCGGAGATGAAAATTGCCCTTCTTTTGCCCATGCCAGATTAGCGGCTTCTGTTTTTGTCATGGCAGAAGCTTCTGCCAAAGCGTTGTCTTTGGCTACCTCCTCTTGTTTCATTTTTCTGGTTCGATCAAAATTGTTTGTAAACAACATATCCCTCTTTGTATTCAGTCTTTGACCCGGGTGTCCGGTTCTTTGGTGGAGGGTGCCATTAAAGAATGAAGTCCTGCCTCCGGACACGATGAGTTTTGATGGATCTTCTAAAGACAACTGGTGTTATGCCTGGGGATCTTGGGGATTTCCTGGGGACGTCTGGATATGAGACCTGGACTGGCTTCGAGCTGGTGTTTTGATTCTTTAGAGGCTCAGGCGTCGACCCTATAACTTGGGATATTTTGGGGAGGGTGCCACTAAAGAATCAGGTCCTGCCTCCGGACACAGGGAAGGGTGTCCTTAAAGAATCAGGTCCTGCCAAAACACTGTTTTTTCTGAGCTGGCGTTTTGATTCTTTAGAGGCTCAGGGCGTGTCGACCCTGCAAAACCTGGCAGTTTTTCACAGTTTGGTGTATTTTTTGGGAGGGTGCCATAAAAATAAGGTCCTACCTCCGGACACAGTGGGTTTCGATGGATCTTCTAGAGACAATTGGTGTTATGCCTGGGGACGTCTGGATATGAGACTTGGACTGGGTTCGAGCTGGTGTTTTGATTCTTTAGAGGCTCAGGCCTGTCGACCCTACAACTTGGGATATTTTGGGGAGGGTGCCACTAAAGAATCAGGTCCTGCCTCCCGACACAGGGAAGGGCGACCCTACAACTTGGGATATTTTGGGGAAGGTGCCACTAAAGAATCAGGTGCTGCCTCCCGACACAGGGACGGGGGCCCTAAAAGAATCAGGTCCTGCCAAAGCACTGTTTTTTTCTGAGCTTGTGTTTTGATTCTTTAGAGGCTCAGGGCGTGTCGACCCTGCAAAACTTGGCAGTTTTTCACAGTTTGGGGGATTTTTTGGGAGGGTGCCATTAAAAAATAAGGTCATACCTCCGGACACAGTGGGTTTCGATGGATCTTCTAGAGACAATTGGTGTTATGCCTGGGGATCTTGGGGATTTCCGGGGACGTCTGGATATGAGATCTGGATTGGGTTCGAGCTGGTGTCTGATTCTTTAGAGCTATACCCTGCAAAACGATAAACATATTTATTTGTATAAATCAATATATGCAATTTGCTGCTTTTATCATAGCTAGTGTCAGTTTGGTTGCGTTTATTGAGCCATGTTTTGGCCAGCACTTTAAACATTGACAAACTCAACTTAGGGTTCCAAATTAAATCTCTACAGAATCAAGGGGGAACTGATAACCCGGGTTGACTTATGTTTTAGCCAGGGAAAATTCCAAGAGGGATAACACCATATGATTTTCAAACGCTCTGTTTTCAAACGCTCATAAATGTGCAGTAGTCCGGCGTCCCTGAAGAATGTCCTTGTTGAAAAATCAGTTGAAATGTGTTGTCAATTTGAAACTTGCTTGGCTCATCTGCGATACAAACGATGGCCGGCGCACAACAGCAGTTTTAGCAAATCGCAAAAATTCAAAGAGCTTGTCTATTGCCCCTCAAAATGCTCTCTCTAAAAAAACATGACCTAGGAAGCCTTTGCAAAAAATTGGGACTCCGGGTTAGCCATGTGGAAAAATCATCTGTTTTTGCATCATTAAAAAATCGTTTTTTGCGACAACCCGGGTTGTTGCATTTTTTAGTGGAAATTGCAAGGGGGATTATTTACATACATTCACTCATCACGTTTTCATTTTGCATCTCACCTTCACGTCTTCTGCTCGTGAGCATCTGTTCAAGCGGCAGGCAAGCTGGTTTTCATTTGACACACAATCCCAAAAACATTGATGAACATATCAAAAAACAAGTTCCTAGGATCTTCCCAGGAAGGCCTCTTAAAGAATAGGAGGCCGTCAAAACAACAATATACATCTTAAAACATGAAACTGGATTTTTTGCCGGCCAAACTGTCCTTTAAAAAATACAGTTTTTTAAAGACCTCACGTCCTCAAGTCTTTAGGCTAGATTCCCAGGAGGATTTTATTATTGATGGTTTTAATCAAATAACATTAGGGGGAAGCTTCGAAATCCAATTTTTGGCAATATTTTAATTGTGTTATATAAAGAATTTTCATTGATTTTGAGATCGGAAAAAATAGTTTTTATTATTAAGGGTTTAATTTTATTAATAGGGTTCCCTAATAATAAATACCACCCTAATACTAAAAACTACCTGCCGTGTTTAGTAATAGGGGGGGGCGTTTAGTATTAGGAGGAAGGGATTAGTTGTCAGCATGTTGATCATCATACAATGTGAATGAATCATGAATTCGGTGTTTAGCAAAATCCTGCTTGATATTAACTCCAGCCGTTCACGGCAGCAAAACACCTTGATGGCTTCAACTCTCACCACAGAGATCACTCGTGGACTTACTAAAGTCAAATCCTGGGATGCTTGGGTTGGTCTGGCGATTGAGGAACAAACATCTGTCGCTTATAAAATTGATCTCGAATCAGGAGCAAAATGTGGTTGTAAAAATGCACCAACGAACCTCATGACGAGACATGAGGATTAAGCAAACCCTGTGACATCGCGCAGCGCATGAAAAACGACGCCCACGCCCCCAACCCGGGATGCCGATGCGAACATGAGCATTCGGTTCAGCCAATGCTCCATGGAATATCTGAAACCTGGCCGGATGTCACCGTCACCGCATGTCACCGATGGTCAGCTACATGAGCTTGGTTTGCCTACACACAGGACCAACATGTTGGGGCTGCCAATGGTATGATGGTATAAATTCAGATATGGAAAATCCATGAAAGTCCACCATGTGTAAATGATTTCCCATGAACATTCATCATTTATAGATGATTTCCCATACACGTGTTGTGATTTTTTCCACACAACAAACATAGTATGGCATGGTGCTACATGTGTTTCCCAATGACATATTTGCAATACTGTACTACTTACAAAAATGGTTTTTAGAACATATCTAGTACAGTGCAGTAATGTATTGCAACTATCTAATAGACATATACATAGAGTGTATTAGGTTTTTGTTAGATTTTTAATCACTATTTTGTGTTTAAATTATACGTGCAACGCCTGAACACAATTCTAAGTGCAATGAGTTAATCAATGATTCTTGCATATTCTAAGTGCTGCTCCGCCACAGTATTTAACACCTTGAATTAGATGTGCGTATATATATAATATGTATAATATATATATAATCATGTGTATGTATGTATATATATTATGACCCTGTGATAGGTCAACCATTCCTCCCTTAAATACACCTGCCTGACGATTCCTGCATCAGATGGCAGGCCGGCTCCTAAGCACAAGTTTGACAAGGCAAATCGTTGGCAAAATCTATGGTCGAAGCTTCTCCTAGCATGCTAAGTGCGTGGGATTCATATGATTATCAAACACGGGAAATTCAAGAAACAAACCAACAAACCAACGAACCAATAAACATTTGAAAAAAAAAACTTTTTTTAGGGCAACAAAACAATGGTGTCTGCATATTCTGACATGAACCAGCCATTGGATATGTTGGTTGATGGGACTTGTAGAACCTCGACAAGTTTCCTCAGTCATGGTACCTCCAAGTCATCCATGTTTTCGGATTTCGATTGTAAACCATCCATTTTTGGGTACCATTTATGGAAACCCCCACATGAAGTTTCCAGAGTCTATATACAGAAAACAACCAAGAACAATGAGCAATGGAATGTCATTAACATTAACAAATTAGTGAACAGTGAATCATGTTTTGTAAATAATGAACATCAGAATATGTCTTTAAAAACACAAAATAATGAATTACTAGATTCATTCACACATCCAAAACCCAGCTCGTCAACTCCCTCTCGGTCGTGTTCACAAAAATCAACATATTGATTATACATGTTTTGGCCGTTACATCGTAGTTTTTGCTGCTCATGTTTTAGACTTGTTGAAATCCCTGTCATGTTGAAATCGATATCTTCGAAAGGCTGTCACCCGCTCCAGATCGCCCAAAACGAAGATCCGCGGGAGCAAAGCCCTGCCCGGACCAACAGGACGAAGACGGACTGGACTTCCGGGACAGATGAACATGTGATAGTTTCCCTCGGGGACTCAATCGTGGCTGGCTGGAAAACCCACCATATATAGACGATTTTGCCAGCGAAGCTCCATGTGAAAGTTCCCAGATGTTTCTATGATTTTCCCATATTAGCACCTATATATTAATTTATAGGAGATACGGGATACGCTGAATTACCGGAGGGTAGTTATTGATAGTCATTACATAAATTCCTGGCAGCTCATTGTGTGACCGTTGATTTTGAACGACCTGCTGTACAACAAAAATGCTGTTCATGTGTATATATATATATTTATATACGAGTTTATATATGTAGATATGTATGTGTGTATATATATATATACGTATATATGTGTATATATATATATATCTATATATACATGTAGATATTAAGAAAAAACATAAGCGATAACAAACCAAGGGATACTTTTTGGGCAACTCTCTGATTTGAAGCACCTATCTTTGGTGGCCATGGTGAATCCCTAGTTTCAAACTCCGACCTCCACATCTTTCGGCGATCAAGTCTCCATTTCTGTGGTTTAATCCTAGAAATGTCACCAATGGTTGCTACTAACATCCAGCAACATTATATATATATATATATATACACATTTCCACATTTTGGTAGGTGCCACATATTTGTTTGTCACGCACCTGGCGCCTTATTCAACACCAGACCGATCAGATTTAAATTTGAAGCTTCTAGTCATGGATTGTTCCCCCGAGGTACGTGAGATTTTCCCATGGAACCATGTATCAACTTGGATAGTTGTATCCCCATTAAACTCCCTCTGTGTCCCCATCTATGGACAATTGTCCCATTATACATATAAATATAACTTATATATATATATATTATACATACATACATACATACATACATACATACATATATATATATTACCATTATAAACTTTATCTAACCGCATGAAAACCAGGGGGTTTATGATAAATCCGTCAGTTTTTTAAGGTTAAAAGCCCGTTCCCCTTTGTTAGTCCCATCGTATTCCCATCATATTCCTATTATATTCCCAACTCCAGTTATCATAGATGATGAATTATATAGCCCCACTATGATGAAGGAAAAAAACAACATTCTCAAGTTAACTATTTGTATCCCTATCACATTCGAATAGATGATTTAGACTAAAGATGTTTGTTCTTTTCCCACCATATTCCCATATATCATCATATTCCGAAATTCACATTACAGCAATCACCAAAAAGATGCCTTAAAAAATGACGAACACTTGGACATTTCTGTCGTAAATATCAATCGAAAACATCCAGGTGTCCAACTTTTTGGCACCTGTCGACGGTCCAATCCATCAGCTCTTCCTTCATCTTTTGGGTGAAGACGTTGACCCTGCAACGCTTCCGCGGTTCCCAGCCAGGGAACTTGCTGGGAATGTATCAAGGGACATGGGATTGGAATGTATCGAAGAACTGCCATACTGTCGAAAAAAAATCGGCAATTCTTTTCTATGATTCTTATTTCCCACTTCCTAATTCATCTGCGCCAGACGTCACTTCCAAGTGCCGGACTCAGCGTCCCAGTACTTCAGCAAGTCTCTGCGCCGGGACAGCTCCTGACGCATGGGACAAGGGAAGGCAGGGAAGGCAGGGAATGCGGCACTAAGGGAATGGTTCAAATTGGTAAAACGGGGGGATTCAACTTGATTCAACTGTCAAACAGTGGGACTTGACATTTTTCACCGGCGGTTCTACTTTTTTCTCCACCAGTTCCACCCTGAAATTCACCACGGCCGCTGGCCATCATCGTCTGCGCCTCAAAGTACTCCACTGCCTCATTATCCGCAGCCTGCGACGGCTGCTGTACCACCGAGTGTTTCAAGGGATGTTGTCCTACCCTCTGGTTATGACCAACATAGCCATGGTATAGATGGCCCATAGAAATAGATGGTTTACCTATTAATAGCATGGTGATTTTCCATGGCTATGTAACAAATAACCAGATGGTCAGTTTTTGCTGTAGAACATGTCTCAGTAGTGGCCATGACACGGCAAACTGACCAGGTCAATTTAAGTGATGGGTTTCGCAAGAAATCCCAAACCTTTGGCGGTGTTGGCCACTATAAATGCATGGGTGCCAACATATATTTCACATCATTCGCTTGTGGGATTTTACCTTGAGGATCAGGATAAAATGATAACTGTCGATTGGTAAGTCGTATTAATAATGTATTAATTACTTCCCAAAAAGTCAATCATTCAATTGGTATGTAGATGAAATAACATTCAATAACATTCAAAAACAATAAGTCATCATAGACTGCAACCTGGCTTGGTAAGAATCAGTCACAGCTTACAAGCCAGTCGTGAATGAAATCACTCCAGTGAATGATCCTGCAAAGCCTGGCATTGGAAATATTGCATTTCCGTCAATGCAATACATTACATTACACTACATTACATTAGATTACATTGCATACATACATTACATACATACATTACACACATACATTACATACATACATTACATACATACATTACATACATACATTACATACATACATTACATACATATGTATACTATCATATATCATAAATATATATAATATACATATCATATATGATGGCCGGCTCAAAAAAATGAGAAAATGCCAGAGGATGACCCCAGATGGCCCCATGGCCCTGACCCATGGGACTCCAAAGTTGCACTGATCTCACTCTGGTTGGTGGTGCCATGTGCCCATCTTGAAAAATGATGGAGTTCGTCAATGGGAAGGATGACATCCCATATATGAAATGGAAAATAAAACATGTTCCAAGCCACCAGCCATGATAGGCAAATCGGCATACCATCATGTTAATCGTCTATAAATGGGCCATGTTCCACAGCTATGTCAAACAACCGCCATGGTGATTGTAGTATGGTACTGAACTGCTGGGGGGACCCACCTTACAGTTTGCATAGTACGGTTGCGGCCGAAAAAACCGTTATATAAATGGACAGTTCATGCAACTAGTTGGTTATAGATATGAAACAACCCCCAAACAAAACTGTTTTTTGGCCATAACTTAGCACGCCCAGGCGAAATTCCCTGCCTCAGTGGGTGTCTCCGTAACCTCGTCGAAGGCCGTCTCGCCCCTCCTAAACGACTGTTTCGCCAAAATGCGGAGGTGTTTCACCAGCCAAAATGCGGAGGTTTTGGTGGGATTTCACCAACATTTATGTATGAATGATTAAAAATGACACTATGTTAGAAGCATATTTGTTCAAGGGATTCAACGTTCTTTGAAGTGGGATAAAATGTCGCTTTAATACCAGTTTTAAGAGCAAGTGGGATCTAACAATGAAGATTTGGAATTGAATGGGATGATTTCACCCGTGTAAGCAGCAACTAATTACTGTATTCGGTTTGTTTGACTAAATATCATGGTTCAAAATCAGGGAAGCCGAAAAACCCACCAAAATGATGCAAGGACCAACTATGTGGCTTTGAATTCGAACATGCAAATACGGAGATCTATACCTGGCTTGAAACCTTGAAAGTTGCTTTGAAAATGGTGATAGCCCAGTTTATGGCATGCTTTTAACAGAGATATAAGGGTGATAGAACAATATAAGGAATATATATATATATATACACGTATGGATATGTAATGATTAAATTTACCAACCAACATGTGGATTTAACGTGTTTTTACCTTTCTTACCATCAAATGTACGAATTTAACATGACTTATAACCTAATTGCAAATACACACGGCTGTCGAGGAATGCGCTGGATACCTCAATACAGCCGTATTAGTGATATTTGTGGGCACTCGAACCTGGAACTTTTACATTGGATTTGCTCCTTAGTGTGTGAAGTCTGCAACGGTCACCAATGTAGATTCAATGTAGATGGGACATTTGACCAATTGACCAATTGGGTGTCAACCAGTGAAAAGAACCTAGGGTTTTGGCCAACCTCCAGCAGATTCTGGATAAGCAAATCCTATTGGGATTCTAATATATATATATATATATATTATTATTATTAATAATAATTATATTATATATATATATCTATTATATATAAAATTGCAATAAATTATTATATATTATATTATTTCATATTATATTAAAATATATTACATTATATTAAATTACATTATATTATATTCTTATATAATAGAAATATTATTATTATTATTATTTTATTTTTATTATTTATATTTATATATATATATATTATATTACATGGTTTTACTATATACAAAAAATATTGAAACATATAGACCTTTATAGAACTACCGTCACGGGGAAGTGTAGTCCCAAGATCCCATGGCCCATCCATCCCATCAAACTGGTAAACCCCCCTGGTAAACATACAAAAACATGGGCATTGAACCAGTGATTTGGGGGGTTAATCCATGAAAATCCTAGGAAAAACCTATGAAAAAAAAACATGGATGTTCATGGGATTTTCATGAAGGATCCCTAAAATGGATGGTTTATAAAGGAAAATCCTATGGAACATCCTATGAAAATTGATGATACTAAAATGGATTTCTCTGGGGAAATGGGACTCTGGTAAACATACAAAAAACTATGGAAAATCACCATTGTTTAATGGGTAAATCAACTATTTCTATGGCCATGGCTTCAATCGCAAAGTGTCAAATTACCAGAGGGGAATTCTGAATAGCCTTTTTGTTCCACTCCCCTCGACCTGAACCCCTCCCTCTCTGAGGGTGAGTACTCATAGCTGTACTGCAAGCACTGCAAATAGTCCTGGACTGCCAGTGGCCAATGGATCAGCATTCCTATCATTCCAAGTGAGTCAGTGGCTACCCTCACGAACTGGGCTGCTCAACGGATGGTAGGATCCCACGAACTGAGCCATCAAGATCTGTACTCCACGATTTCGCAGGTCTAGGGCAGAAATGTTTTGCTTCAGGGTGGTAGCGATTCTTCAATGGTTGAATAGTCAATTTCTATCCTCTGGTAATCAAACATGGACATTCCCAAAAATGGAACTTTTAATGGAAAACAACATCTGTAAATTGAAGATTTTCCATTGCCATGTTACCAGAGGATATCCCCTATGTTCCTTCTGTGCTCCCGTTGAATTTGGCATTCAACGCAAAAAACTGCAGGAAATATACATGAACGGTTTTTTTTGGTATCGGAAAGTTACATGCTTGAAACATTGCTACTTTTTGAAGCTGGGTAGTATGTTTCTCATTGTTCAGGAAGAACCTTCCGGTAATCAAACATGGCAGTGGGGAAAACAACTCATATTTGATTTGTTGAATTAAAACCTCCAGCTAGCCGTGTTTCCCAAAAGGCTAATCCTTTCTTGGGGCCCCACTTAGAATCCATGACCCCCAGTTAGTTTCTTTATGGAATATCCGCACTTATGGGATGCATATCATGGCATATCATGGCTGTCATGGATTAACCATGGATCCTAAGTGAACCCCCCTCCTCCCAAGGATAACAAGTATAACACTCCACAAACCACACGGCAAACTAATGCCAGGCTATGTTTCCCAACGTCGGTAGAGTTTGTCGCTGGCGGACAGGGCCTGAAGGGGCCCAACAGCCAGTTTCATCGATTGGTTTCAGGGGAAAAAACACAGGAAAAACACATGTTTTGTTACCTCCACATGTGGTGTAAATATGTGTGTTGTTGAAAACCTAAATCTGGTGGTTCCCCGTGCCCAAAGCAGGAACGTAGCCCCCTTGGAGTAGTGAACAAGTCAAAATTCTACTGTTTGGTCGTTTTGAAGCAGACACACATATGCATCAAGTCTAGATGGCTGCAGGTGCAAATCGATTAAATTACCCGAAACATTACTACCAGACCAGCTGACCAGACCAGCTGACCTTCTACCGGACCAGACTAGACCTGACTAGTAAATTTGAAAAAGGATAAAGCAACATAATAAGATCTAATGATCGTCTATGCAGTCTATAACTTGACCATCCGTTTGCCTACAAAACGCGGTTTTTTGGATAGCCAATTGTTTAAAATTTAAAATGCACTTTGATGGTGTAAATTGTGAATAATAAGGACCTAAGAATACTTGTAGGACCCAGACGGGTTTGTCCGAAAATTGCCTATCTGGAGATATCCAAACCATTCTTGGACAAACCCACGGTCTGTGTCCATGATAGGTCGAACCATGAGGTAAATCAAGAGCCGAGGTGGCTGAGCAATGGGTGAGATGTCAACCATCGTGGCAGTGGGGTTTAGGGCATTGAGTCTATCGGCTTTGAAAATTCAAGAGAAAGCACACCAAACCCGATGGTTTCTCATCCCTAAAAAGGTTGCTGGCAGATAACCTGCAACACCCAATTGTTTGACACATAAAAGACAATAAGAAGACGAGAGAGAAGAGAGAAGAGAGAAGAGAGAAGAGAGGAGAGAGGAGAGAGGAGAGGGGAGAGAGGAGAGAGGAGAGAGGAGAGAGAGGCTGAGGCAGGTTGGTGGCACATTTGGGCATGGGTTTTGTGGTGGGCTGGAACTAAGCTGTATGCTTTAATGCTGGTGTGCTGTCTAGTTGGCGGTGTTTGCTGGAATGTGGTTGTTGCATTGGTTGCATTCATGTGCCTAAGGTGCTGATGTATTGTTATGTGTTCTAGTGCTGGTTATGTGTTGGGTTTGTGTTGCTGCATTTGGTTGCATGTGGGTGTTGTCCTTGGGCCACAGGTTCAGAGGTTCAACATGGTGAGGCAACAGCATGTCTACCATTGAGGCAACAACATGGCTGAGCTACATGGCTAAGTTCCAACAACTGCAAAGACATGCAAGCTCCATCCAATGCCCAAACATTAGCAGCTACCACCAGACCCAAGCACACCCACAACTCCTTTTTCAAAAACCACTCAAAGCTCAACCAAGCCCCAAGATGTCAAAAACCCAAGCCTCCACATGGGGCTGCTAAGCTCAGTCCAGTTTGATCCTGTGGCTGAAGTCTGGGCCCCCCTGAGCTTCCCACTCAGCCAAAGCTTCTGCCAAGGCCTCCATTGACTTGAAGCCAGGTGACCTCTTGAGCTTGCCAGGTGTGATGTAGAAGCAGCAGTAAGGCCTCTCCTTACCCTTGCATTTCTTCATGGGCAACAGGGCCAAGATCTCCTTACCTCTGCTGCTGATGCTGTTCTCATCAATGTGGTCATAGCCACTGGGATTGGGGGGCACTGGTTCCTGCCCCTCTGCTGGGCCCTGTGGCAATGGTGCTGGTGGCTCTGGATCCAGGTGTTGTGGTTCAAGGTCTTGTGGCTCTTGTGGCTGGAAATCTTGTTGTGGTTCTGGGTCTTCTGGTTCAATCTCTTGGCCTCTTTTGAGTTGGTCCAAGAGTTGTCTTTCACAGTGGCCTGAGACATGGCCAAGGGTCCCCAAAAGCTGTATCCACAACTGTTGTCTGTTGTGGAAGCCTGGGCCTGCTTGGGGCAGATCCTTGAATGAGTCCCATAGGCTTGCCAATTTGGCTTTCCAGGCATCAACCTCCACCACCTGGATCCTAGCCATGCCCAGCTGGAGCATGATTTTGAATCCCTTGAGCAGGAAGATGGAAGCCTTGGCTGCTTCAATGGGAGTCTTGCCGTGATGGTCATCTGTTGACCTGACTCTCCCTTCCACCCTCAGGCCTGTAAAGAATTCCATGCTGTCTTGGAACACTAAATGGGACTTGAGCCTCCTGGCAGTTTCCATTTGCCTGTTGATTGTGCTGTGGCTGCCAGGCCAGCCAAAGCTGACAGAACCCTTGAGGTTCTTGATGATCTTGTGATAGGAAGGATAGATGGCAAAGAGTTTGCCCTTGCCATTGCCCCTTAAAGGGCTTGGTATGGGAGACCTCTGTTCCTTCACTTCCAGTCCAAAGTCCCAAAGACGCAGGGGTGCTGTCCCAATTGGAAGGTTGGCAGTAGTGGGTGGACCCTGATCTTGAAGAATGGGAAGGCTGGCCCAACAAGGGCCTTGCCCACTCCTGAAGAAGTCCGAATGTCAATGCCAACAAGTGGGATGCCTTCAAAGTGCATGGTGTGGGTCACATCTAGGGCTGTGAGGGCTGATGCTAGGTTTTCCAGGCAAGTAGAGGCTTCCAGATTGAGGGCTGGGAGTTCCAGCTGGAAGCCAAAGTGACCTGTGTACACAGTGTCAACCCCTAGTTCCAAAAGGGCTCGGCTCAGGTGGCCCATTGGCTATGCCATAGACTAGTGCTTCCTCATCTGGCACCACTAGGGCTGTGATGAGGGTGTTGCCTTGCTCCTGGAGCTTCTGGCAGATGGCAAGCTTGTCTACGGTTGAACATTCAAAAAACATGTTTGGGAACCATGGACTAGATAGGGTCTATGTCCTACAATGTGTGGCCACTAGATTGTAGTTATACGATGTTAAAAGTATCAGAAACCATACTTATTGGAGGTATGTTCACCAACTTAGCTATCATAAATCAGCAACAAAATTCCCGCAAGAAACTCCCATTTTCCTGCTTCAATCACCAAAGGTTTTTGCGTCAACGGAAACGCCCCACGTCAGCCGTAGCCATCGCCACCTGCGTCCACTTCCAAGTCGGACGATGAGAAATGCTGGGAAGCTTCTCCACACCTGGGCCGGTGATTTCCCCCCGAAAAAGTCACAAGCCATGGCCCGGTTGTGATGTTTATTTGGACATATCATAATAGGTTTACTATTGTTTACTGTCACCAATTAGTTATAGGAGTTACATGTCCAGTTATAAGTTAGGATAACTGTTAATGGCCAAAACTGCATGGGATATCCTCGATGTAGAAATATTCATAACCTCCCCAAGGAGAGAAAAGTGATTCCAGGATAGTACAGATTGTATTCATCAATCTCATATTTCTGGGTTTCCAAATGTGGTATGTAAGATCTATTTGGATGTTATACGACAGATGCACTGCATATGATATATGTATATAATGAATATACATGAATATACTACATGGCTATCGATCAGAAATGATGATATTGATCAGCAATAGCTGTGGCGTGGCTGTCGGATAGGGGTCACAGAAAAAAGGATATTAGAAGTATTATGTGAGTTTATGTGACTATACAACCTGTCAATGGATTGGTTTAAGGGAAAATCTACAGGACACCAAGGTTTTTACCATCAAATATGGCCATTGAATTATTGATTGGTGGTTTCAACCCCTCTGAAAAATGATGGAGTTCGTCAGTTGGGATGATGACATTCCCAATATATGGAAAGTCCAAACCACCAACCAGTGACTATACAACCTGTTGTTTGAAACAACAAAATATGATGGTTTCCTCAGTTCCATACCATCCGTCTCTTGATCAGCAATCTGGCCATGGCCAAAATAAATCGTGTTGGGAAATGGTGGTCACACCGAACACAATCTATAAGGGCTGCTTTCAACAGATACCGGGGGGAAACATGGGCGAAATGTAGCGCAAATTTCACCACGTTTCCCACCTGAAAGGCAATAATTTACCGACCGTAACTTAAAGCAACCCTCTCTAAAGGCGTCGCCAAAAAGATGCTGAAGAGTTTTTGCAGCATGTAATTGATCATATGTCCCTTGTAATTTCCATTTATTCTATCTATGACTCGGGGGGTGCTCCTAAAAACACGCTTAAAAACATATACAATTATACAATTATCTATAAATGGAATTCAACCATCAACATGTTTGACACTCTCTGGCAATCTAAAAAAACTCAGGTAAATTAAGATGTTCAATAAGTAAATCATCTACAAATGGGCCACTTTCCATAGCTATGCTAAACGACCCAATGGTAACATCTAAAAAAAAATGTCTGAAACATCCCATTGACCCGCAAATGTTTTCGATTTCAGCTGTGTGACATCCTTCCGGGACTTGAGCCACCCAAAAAAAAGTTACCATAGAATATACCGTGTTGAAATGCCATAGAAATCACCGAAGATGGCGAGGGAAATGAGAAAAAAACAAGGAGCCGAATGGGAGGCCATCGACTTGGCGAATGTGAACTCCTGAAGAATCATTGTGAATCATTCAGATATTCGTCCTGTGGGGCCCAGTTATGTTTGTTGGTTTATAAACCCCATGAATACTATACTTATTGGTATCATAAACCAAAGTTAAAGAAGTTATAAACTAACTTAGCTATCTGGGCCCCACATTGTTTCTGGTTGGTGGTTGAGCCACCCCTCTGAAAAATGATGGAGTTCGTCAGTTGGGATATAGTATGATTCCCAAGATATTATGGGAAGTCATAAAAGCCATGTTCCAAACCACCAACCGGTGACTCCGACGATTCCCCAACAAGACTCCGACTGCGAAACTTCCTGCGAAGCCATGGGGCTGTGCCGGCGCCAAGCGTGCCCTAAAAACCATAAGAAAACCCTCGAAAAACCATAGGAAAATGGTGATTTAACCAAGACAAATGTGGATTTAATGGGTTTTAGAGCTGATTGATGATAGCTAAGTTGATGAACACACCTTCAATAATTATGGTTTATGATACTTACGACTATAGTATGCTATAGTATACTATAGTATTACTATAGTATACTATAGTATTCATGGGTTTTCTAAAGCAGCAGACTTAACTCGGGGGCTCGACATTGTAGCAATCTGCAAAAGATCAGAACAGGTTCACGGCAATTATCTGCAGAAAGATGAACGAAACAGATGCCTTTTGCCCAATTTCAAAACATAGAATTAGAAAACAAACAACTGCAACCAATGACCAGTTGGATAAGAATAAGCCATGCTTCATGGGCCATGGAACTAAAAGTATTGGAGCATCTGCAATGTAATGGTTGGTGTTCATTTCCGTATTCCCAGTTCATGGTGACGGCGCCTCTCAGGCGACCGCACTGTTGTAAATTTTACCATGTGATCTTGAGTTGGTCTTAATGTTTTCATGTTGATTTGACGTGAATGTCTGGTTCTTGGGGATGTTCGTCCTGTTTCAACCGCTGCGTCAGAGCATGGGGTGGGGTGGGGTGGGGGGGGGATGGGGTGGGCTTATAACGTTCATGTCGGCTGCCGGAAGGATGTGATGCTACGGCATGCTACGGTGTGAAGATGTTGAAGTAACTTCAGGGACGCTCTGGATGCTACGTTGTGAAGATGTTGAAGTAACTTCAGGGACGCTCTGGATGCTACGTTGTGAAGATGTTGAAGTAACTTCAGGGACGCTCTGGATGCTACGTTGTGAAGATGTTGAAGTAACTTCAGGGACGCTCTGGATGCTACGTTGTGAAGATGTTGAAATAACTTCAGGGACAAAATTGGACTTGGCTTGGATTTACTGCAGGAACTTGGAAAACTCATGAAATCGATCGACAAGAAGATCGGATACTGGAAGTGAGCAGACCGCAGATGTAAAAAAGCTTCGAATGTGTTTCGGGAATATGTTTTCGAAATCCATTTTTTCCAAAAATCGCGTTTTCGCTACAGCGAAAACGACACGAAGTTAATTTTGAGGCGCGCCTCCAATGTTTTTGAACCATTTTTTAACATCGATCGAGCAAGGCTCATGAATAAAGTCCTGCGTTTTACAGGGAATTGCGCTTTGAACCTCTGAAACGACCTCTGAAAAACATGAAAGAGCGCGGTCGCTCCACAGGCGCCGCCACCTTTTTGTTCATGGATTATGATCAGCCCCAACATAGTGGGTAGTAATATAATCCCGTATAATCGTCACCAATTGGGGTTTTTGAAACTGTTCAAATGATTTATACATATATATATATACTATAGATACATATCAGCTGTTCCGTACAATGGAGAATAGCTCTATACTTCAACATTTTTTGCCACCGCGAGGCCACGAGAAACTGCGAGCCAACCAACTTAGATAATTCTGGAAAAACAATTCAACAATTCACAAACGCTTCCCAATCCTAACCATGATTTCAAGAAACTGTTAACCTTAACTTATCCTTTGTTTGAACTATTTCCACGCCAGCGGCCAAGCACCAAACAAAAAGCGCAAAAAGCGGAAGAGGCACATGTTTTGTCAGCACCAACAAGAAACAAAACCCTAAGACCCTAATCGTTCGAAGCAAGCTTGACTTAGAAGATCAACATACTGTGGATGGAAGAAATCCTGCACCACCTTGGATGGTTGAACCCCTAAAAATAATGGGATAAACCATGATAAACCATCAACTGGTGATTGGGATTTCTTCCATCCACCGTAGGCCAACCAACTTAGGGTGAACCCGATGCCCGGTGCCCATCCCACAGCTTTGATGTCCTGACCGCGACATGGCGACAGAAGCAACAGAATGGCAGCCATGGGGGGGTCGGTGTTCAAAGCTCCATCAGAACCCACCATTTACCATGGAAAATCACCATTCTAATAGGTAAACCATCTATTTCTATGGGCCATCTATACCATGGCTATGTAATAAATAATCAGAGGGTATAGATGATGTTCATTTATTTTCCCATGAAACCTCTGTTTTTGATGAAGGTTCTTCAGTTTTTATGACACTGGAGGGTAACTCGAGTGGTAAACTGTCGGTAAATTCGTCAACTTTTGTTTCTTGTGACATGTTGTGACTCTCAGGGGTGGAAAATCAAACCATGCAAAACCAACGACTTCTAAACTTCCAACATCTGCTTGGGATATCAACAGTGGTAACAAAAAAGGGTGGCAAATTCGCACTGCAGGGTCACAACTTTGCCATATTTATATACATATATTTAACATCCGGTTATGACTAACAGTTCGCCATGGAAAATCCCCAAAATAAATGGAGGTTTAGCAAACGCTGGGAAAATCAGCTATTTCTATGGGCCATGGCTTAACCATGGCGAACTGTGATAGTCATAACCAGAGGCTTTTCCTGCCATATTTACTGCCAACATTGTCTATGGGCAATGCTGGGCCTCAGAAGGGCTGACTCCCACCGCGACTGAGATCAGTGGAACCTGCTACTGTACATCTTTGGTCGTCACGTTCCAACATCCACAGGCCACAGCTGCGACAAAATGAAGTTTGTCGATAGATATCTGAATTTGGAAGCCAACCCGAGGCGTTTCATGTGAAACACAGGCGTCAGAAGGTACACACACACACACACGCAAAAAAAAAGAAACTAACAAAATTACTTTACTTCGAGTTATCCCCACCATGACATTTATACGTTTTGTTACTGGCACATCTTCTGGCATTCTATCTGACATATCTTCTGGCATTTTATCTGGCATATCTTCTGGCACTCTATCTGGCATATCATATCTTCTGCAATATGTTCTGGCATATCTTCTGACATTCTATCTGGCATTCTCTCTGGCAAATCTTCTGGCATTCTCTCTGGCAAACATTCTGGCACTTTATCTGGCATACCTTCTGGCATTCTATCTGACATTCTATCTGGCATACCTTCTGGCATTCTTTCTGGCATATCTTCTGGCATTTTATCTGGCATATCTTCTGGCATTCTATCTGGCATATCTTCTGGCATTCTACCTGGCATACCTTCTGGCATTCTATCTGACATTCTATCTGGCATATCTTCTGGCATATCTTCTGACATTCTATCTGGCATTCTATCTGGCAAATCTTCTGGCGTTCTATCTGGCGAACATTCTGGCACTTTATCTGGCATACCTTCTGGCATTCTATCTGACATTCTATCTGGCATACCTTCTGGCATTCTATCTGGCATATTCTTTCTAGCATTCTAGCATTCTATCTGGCATATCTTCTGACATTTTATCTGGCATATCTTCTGGCATTCTGACATTCTATCTGGCGTTCTATCTGGCATATCTTCTGGCATTCTATCTGGCCGTTGAGGTCCAGCGGTGCCCACTGAGCTCGGAAGGTCCCAGGTTGAGGTCCAGCGGTGCCCACTGAGCTCTGAAGGTCCCAGGTTGAGCCCTCTGGGCTCGGAAGCCGGCAGTTGAGGTCCAGCGGTGCCCACTGCGCTCAGAACCTGGCGGTTGAGGTCCAGCCGTGCCCACTCAGATCGGAAGCCGGCAGTTGAGGTCCAGCAGCGCCCACTGCGCTCAGAACCTGGCGGTTGAGGTCCAGCCGTGCCCACTCAGATCGGAAGCCGGCAGTTGAGGTCCAGCAGCGCCCACTGCGCTCAGAACCTGGCGGTTGAGGTCCAGCCGTGCCCACTCAGATCGGAAGCCGGCAGTTGAGGTCCAGCAGTGCCCACTGCGCGTGGAAGTTGGCGAAGAGATTGGCGATGAGTTGGCAAGGCGGAAGTGGACGTGGAAGTTGATGCAGACATGGTCGAGGAGAAACTGGAGGAGGAGGAAGAGGAGGCGGAGGAGGAGAAGGAGGATGAGGAGAACAACTCTGATAAAATCTAACAACCCTCACCTGGCAGGTGGGGAAATATCAGTGCCAAGCCTAATACAGAAACAAAAGCTACTAAAATCAATATGTACGTGTGTGCGTCCCTCACAAGTGATCCAAAACATCTACAGTTCTGGCGCTTTACAAATGATAAGTCACTTATAAGCCCATTTATGCAATAATAATAATCCCATTTAAACCCCTTACAGCTGGTATATAAAGGGCTTCAACTGTACACAAAACCAGAAAAGGAGACAACTTCGCTGACTTTCTTCGTCATGAATCATGAACATCAGTGAGTTTCGTCAAGGACAGGAACTCCACTCACTGTCCAGTTAAGATGATGACCGAACGATGTTTCGCTGGTGGCTGCAATTTGTGCGCTAAAAAAACTCCCAATGATTCTTGGAGAAATCTATCTAGACCTTCAAACTCATGTTGATTAATTAGACATTTTTCCATGGCTATGTTAAATAACCAGAGGGTAAAACGTTGCAATTTTTTGAGCACCCAAAGTCAAGAGTTTAGAGGAAAAATAACTATTGCGGTTCTGTACATTGAGGGTCTGGAAAAAGACTGCACTAAAACAAGGTACCCCAAAACCCAATTCTTTAAAATTAATATTCCCCCACTAAAATGGTTCTTGTGAAAAAATATACCCTGAATTTCAGGACAAACCGATATATTCAACGATCATTGCGGCTATGAATTTCTGGATGTACCCTCTGGTAATTTAACATACCTATGGAAAATCACCATTTTGAATGGGTAAATCCACTATTTCCATGGCCAGTTTCAATAGCTTTTTGTATGTTTACCAGGCCGGGTAAAACCCGACAGACACACTTCACACCCACGGCATGTTTGTTCCACGCCACGCCAGCAATCACCGGATCAAATCGACGCATCGACGTACGTGGCGCATCTCCAGCCGCTTCGACACGGGAAAACTTCAGGAGCTCCATCAAAAACAGACTTTTCATGGAGAAAATCCATGAACATCATCTATACCCTCTGGTTATGTTAGATAGCCATGGTATAGATGGCCCATAAAAATAGATGGTTTACCTATTGAAAATGGTGATTTTCCTCCAAAACAACTGGCGATGTGATAAACCCAGAAGGGGAGCAATACAAGACTAGTGTTTTCCACCATGGCAATAAGATTTGAGTCCCATGCCTTGAAATTAGCCATCCATCAGGCACGGATGTCAGTGAAGTTGAATAAAGCTTCAATAGGCTATTCAATATCATTTTACCCTCCAGTAAATTAACATAGACCCTGCCAGATAGGGGTTGGAAGACTAGTTTCCACTATAAATTGGTCATTTTCAGGGTCTAATCTTAATTTACCAGAGGGTATGTCATTTTGAAATTTAAGGCAAGTGGACAATTACTGGTGTCAGAGAGTCCTGGCATGGTGAAATCAGCGAATCGCCGGTGCTGAGATCTTGTCCTTCCAGGCAAACGATGATGAGTCCCCAAGAAAACATGTTGTTACATGGTGCTTGTTGGTTCAAAAACGATACTCAACTGCGAAACATGTTATGAACATAGTTTTCGGATCTTTTTCGGCTTTAGAAACCTTGTGGTTCAGAATGGTGCGTATATGGATGTGTCTGAAAAGGAGGTATAGCCGCAAAATCGCCATGAGAAAATGAGAAAGTGATGCTGAACTATTGAATGGAATAGGGTACCCTCTCAACTTTTTTCAAAGAACATTCAATCTAATGGGAAACCACAAGCATAAGCCAGTTTTAATCCGTGGTTGATCAGTGAAATAGTCTATGAGTATATATATATATGATTTTGTATTATACATATACATATACATATATGTACACGCTTTGAATGATTTATAGTAGCGGCCGGAGAATTCTATATCAATGTCTATATCCATGAACATTGTCCCACTTTTGTCACAACGCTGGTGGATTTCTTGCTTCAGCACTGGCCACTGAAAGTCCGTCGCAGGCGTGGGTTCAAGGCGGCTTCGAGTCAATCTGAACCACCAAAAAAAAACCTGAACAGTTGCTGAACCATTCACCAGAAGCCAAGGATATCCCGGATATCCTATATCCATCTACCATCTCATTATGACTAACACAACCATGGAAAATCACAATTTTTAATAGCTAAACCATCTATTTCTATGGGCCATCTATACTATGGCTATGTTAGTCATAACCAGAGGCTATATCCCCTGGTCAAGTTCAAGGGACATGAAGAATTCCCACGCATCAAACCGTTTAACGAAGCCTGGCAGGCCGAAAAAAACCCGGAGAACTCTTCTCTTTGAGAGAAGTTCATCCATTCCCACATGCTTCATATGTTGAGATCTTTCTGAAGTGCGAGATCGTAAATGGATGTAAAATGAATGAACATTGAGCACATGGGATTTGAATAATTAGCACGATACATATCACTTCGCTACCCGACCACTTCGCGGCAACGTGTCTCTTCGGTGGTCAAAACGCCTGGCAAAAATCATCCCGGGATGTGTTTGGCTCATGGGTAAAGTGAAACGAAACCAACAAACACCAGACATTTGGGGGCGGAGCACCAGCAGCACCACCAGTTTTCTTCGTGTGGATTGACATGCTGATGATTTTGCCAGGATGACGATAGTCCAACTCATCTTCTGTGGATGCAGTGGCAATCTTGACCGCCAAATTGAGTCACATCGGTTAATGGATGATTGGCGCAATTCCACGGCTGCGGGAAACCCCACAGGGAAGCAATTTGGAGGGTCATCCCGCATTGGTTTTTTGGACACGAACCATGTGCTGATCGTAAGCAACTGGTTGGTAGTCCCACTAACCCACTGGCTAGATCTGACTAAACTCTATAGACCCTCAAAGTACCTGTAGAAATGTGAGACATTGGAGGCCGAACGTCATTTTCTGAACTTTGTAATTAATATAGTAAAGTGGGTAAAACAATATAAGAAACCATCCCCGAAATCACCATTTTTACAGGTGATATGGTTACCATTCCCTGTCATGCGTGGTTTATGGCAGTCTTTTACCCACAGCAAAAATCAAATGATAAACGAACGAACCATACCCCCATGTAAACCCCTTGCGTCAGCCTCCTTCACGGTGCGTTTCTCCATCTCCTCGAGGCTCAGATTATGAAACTCCTCTTCAAATCCTGGTCAGGAGATTTCACCGTCTCTTCAAACAGAAAGATCACAACCTGAGAAAAAAAAAACATGAAGAGTTATGGACCATTAATGGAATGTATAGTCCCATAGAAATAACTGTTAACATATTTCGACTCCGTGGAGACTTAAAATGGGGATTTCACCCGGCGAGATCTCGAATGGTACTTCCATCTCGGTTTGCTGATCAAAATTTGTACTCAGAGACCAAACAAAATATCAACGAAAGAGAGTTCGATGCCCATTGCTTGATTACTTCGGGGACCTGCACGCTTCAGAAATGATGAGGTTTAAGGGGCGTAACCTTGTCTAACAAGCCAACGTTCATGTCACCCTGGTCATTATTGGATATGAAAAATCAGATAAAAATCAGGATACCTTCTGTTTTTTTAAATTGGAACAATGGCCTGCGGCTTCGAGTCTCAAAACACGCACGGGAAGGGTTTGGCCTGAAAGAGTTCCAGCATAACGTGGGAAGCCTGATCCCCATTCTTCGAAACAAACAATCACCCCCTCACCAGTTCTTCGCGTAATATGCATATGTATACTATTTTATACTATATATTATATATATATATAATTATTGCATTTGCGTTTTCATATCATATATATACCATAATATACGATAATTGATAATTTGTTTCATTCAAAAACGGGCATTTTTTGCGCAATAAAATATCTTATGTTTGCAAAACTTCGTGAACTCCATGCTGTTTTTCTTTCGCAAAACCCATGTGGGGAAGCAATGCCTCGTATGAAGACTCAGTCATTGCTACTTGCATGCCAAATGATCACTTTGTCATAGATTACTTCACGGCAGCCGTAAACATGCTGCTAGCATAACAGAATCCTTTCTCAGGACAGATGGTTGTTTGTTGGGTACATTTCTGGCTAAACTTAAAACACTTTCTGGGCCACCCCTTTGAAACACACTTTCACTTTGGCCCGCTCTTTCGGCAATTTTTGCAAACACATATCATTATTTGCCGTACGAGTACAATGGTGTATTTCATATTATCTAAGTTTATCAAGACTGTGCATTTACTTTTGGGAGCTTGAAGAACAACTTTCGCAATGGTTCAAAACAACATGAATGGTCTTCGCACTAATAATTCGATAAATATGTAAAATATGTAAATGTTAAATATACAAACACATGAATAACACATGTATGTCTAACACGATAGAAAAACATGATGCTAAACAACAGAATCCAAACATTCCACATGCGTCTTTCCAAAATTTGTCAGATCCAATATCTACATTTGTCTATATATATATATATATACCATCTGGTTATTTAACATAGCTATGGAAAATACATTATAAATGGAGGTTTCGTTCGCTGGGAAAACCATCTGTAAATGGGCCATGGCTTCCATAGCTATGTTAAAGATCAAAGCGAACCCAGGTCTTCTCCCGTCCTTCCAGGGATTTCATATAGCCCATATCTGTGGAGCACAAGTCTTTACTCGAGTCGTCGTGGTCGGAGTCGTCGAAGACCAGCTCTAAGGGTACGCGTCCGGTCAGGCGGCGTCCTGCGCACAGCGCAAGGTGCGCGGCCCGGATGTGCCTGGATGGGCCCTGGGATGGGATGTTAACTGATTAGTAAATGAATGTGTCAGAATCCAGTATTTTGATTTATTTATAAAATTTATAAGCCAGTTACTAATCAGTTACCTAATCCCAGGGCCCATTCTAGCCGTAGCCCTTTTTGATAGTTTAACTGGCTTTGAAAACCTTATTGAAGTGATGAATATCACCTTAATTGCAGGAGTTGTAGTCCCATTTAAAACTGTTGATCAGGCCATAACAGTACACAAGAAATCTTAAATTTCCAGAAGATATGACGCAGATATAGAAATAAGACAACTTGTAAACACATCTTATTTACATTACGATTCAACATCAGAGCACATCAAAATCATATCACAACAAATCATATATATATATATATATCAGCATAATTATCTAATTATACAGTGTATATATATATATATAGAAATCAAATTTCAAGCAATATAATATAACCATCTAACAAATATCAAACGTCATTTATAAACTAATATAGCACAGCACAAATTATCTATCATACGAAAAACAAAACAAACATCACGTATCAAATCATGTCTTAAAAAGCAAACAGCAAATCATGAAACATAAGAAAACATTATAAATACAATTTGAGAAACAAAAACACATACACAGATCATACACATATCATGCACCACCTATCAAACCACATCATATATCATGTATCCAAAGGCAAATCATTTCATATATCATGCGCCACAAATCAAACCATATCACATATCATGTCTCATTTGTCATATCATAGCATAGGTAGATATGTTATGATGTGCATATGCCTATATATATATGTATGTGTGTGTCTACACCTTATAGCAATCCAAGTGATTATCTACAAATACATGTTGGGTGGATATGTTGCCTTGAAGTGCCTTGTCAGGTGTTATGCGGATCTTGGGATATGTATCAAGATAAACATATATACATATGTACGGACGTACGTACGTACATTACATACATTACAGCGCATCGCATTGCATTGCATTGCACTGCCTTGCCTTGCCGTGCATTGCATTGCATTGCGTCGCAATGCTCTACCTACATACATACATATATACATATTTATTGCCTCGATATCAAAGTTGGAAGGGGATAACACACCCACTGCATACGTTCAATCCCCGTGCAGCACTTCTTTATATACCGCGAAAATCCCACAAGGACAGCCCTCCAAATGTCAGGAATTCAAGCAACCAAAATTCGCATTTATTCAACCAAATTTTGGACTCAACCAATGCACTTTTATGTCCCCATGAATCGGTAGACTTCCACTTATACATTTGATATCCCAGTTTGATTCCTATGTGCGACATGTTCACTTGTACTCAGTGGATAGTAAGCCCAATCATACTTTCCATCCGATTGCCTTTCAACAAATTTACAGGTCAAACCCGTTGTTTGATGGGAAAACTGAACATATTGTTCAATCGACCAGACTATAAATGACAAACGGGGCAGCCCCACGCTCTTTTACCAGCTCGGCTTTTCTCAAAAAGGTTTGCCATATATGGGTTTGATAAAAGAAAGCCGTGGCACCGAAAAACCATCATTGCTTGTCGTTTCCGGCATTAACATGGCAGTTTGAAGGAATTCCCTCTGGGACAGATCAAAAGATTATTCTCAAAGTCCAAAGCCTGACATGACCCATGACCGGTATAGTGCTGTCACCCAGGGGTATTGACCACGGCCAGATGTGATATAGGATGACCTACACTTAAACCTACACCTGAGCAAATGCTAATCATACAAGAGATAACGTGAGAAAACTCATTTTGGAGAAACACAAATGCTCCTTTTTGTCACGTGAAAACCACCATTTGCCATATATTTATTCCATAAATGGTTCCAATAACCGCTAGAATTTACCAAAACTGCGCAGTATCGCTTGTAATGGTACAAACAGTGTGAAGGCTTGGAAACCCAACCAACTTTGGTCATGTCTACTTGGACCTTTCGGCCCCCAAATGTCAAGGTTTTGCATCATGTTGGCCCCTATTTCCATATCGGTGAGCACATCTGAACTGGTCAAATGCGCCTTAAGTTCTACAATGTTCTGCACTTTAGACCTCAAGGTCAAGCTATAAATCTCTAGTTTCTGCAGTTTCTGTGGCCTATACCATATCTTTGTCGAGATCTGTTCTTTTCCCTTACTTACTTAAAGCTATTTTCCAATTAACCTTCCAACAATACCCCAAGAAAAACCAAGTTTTCCATCCTCGCCTTCTGGATCGGCACTTGGACTCGCTTCACTTGGACTACTATCTCGCTGGCTTCCGACCTTGCCGTTCCTGGATTCAGCCGACGACATGATCGTCCTGGCAGTCTCTGGCAACAAAAATATCCCGATCCAATATCCAATCGTTGAAGATGACATGCACCATGGAACCTGGAAAAAACACGGAAAAAACGCTAATATCATCTCTTCGTCTCAACAAAATCAAAAACAGGTCAATGTTGGAGGAAATGTTGATGAATGCAAAGATGTAGGTTTTGGGCAGCATACTATAACCGGCTCATTTGTTTCTTACCTTTTTGAACTGGCAGATTTCATGGTTCGCTTTGGCAGCAAGCAATAGATACTTTCATGGAGTCGCTGGAGAAATATCACCACCAGATCATTCAGTAGTTGCAGATCACACAAATACCTTTTAAATATCAAAACATTCATTAATGATCATTAATGTGATGTATTGTATATTGGATGTCTTCTATTCATCGATGGTATGCAAATACATCCACTCATCGATGTTTTCCGTATGTTTTTCCGTATGCAATACCCTCTGGTAATTTAACATAGCTATTGAACATGGCCATTTATAGTTGATTTACCCATAAAAAATGGTGATTGTCCATAGTTATGTAAACGTTTTACCAGAGGGTACATCTACAGTACCGTGCTCTTTGACTGTGGGAGGATCATCATGATTCATGTCCTCAAGCGCTGCAATGCGGACGCTCTCTCCACCGTGGAGTCTGCCTGGAGGATCACCAAAAAGGAACTGGCGGGTTTTTCGAGAGCATCCAGGAAGTCAGCAGGATTTATGATCAAACAAGTACGAGCCACATATGTATATATACTGTATATAAATAAACACATATGTGGGAATTAGAAAGGATGATTAAGGATTTGTAAATGAAAACATGAAATGAACTGGGATTCAACCCGGGTTCCTGGCTTATCATATGGAGAAATTCATCCGAATCGTGGGCTGCGGTAGATGGGGCCAACAACTGAGTAGCATATCAGTAGCGACTTATGCTAATATGTTTGTGCAAAAACATGAACGTTTACTTTGTTTGTTCTACATGCATAATGATATATATATATATATATATGTATACATATCATTATAAATTATTATCAAAATAATCTTCTGTATCTATATATTATTGGCTCAAAGATGCCGCGATTACATCTGAAAAGTGCAACCCAAACATCCCTTAGGGAAACCATTTCTATACAAACATCCGATGGTTGACCATGTTTCCCCAGGGCCGCAGGGGGTATTCCCCATGTTCAGACATACCGCTGTCCGGATCCGAATGTCTCTTGGACTACTGCTGTGCCAGCCAGTGTCGCACTGAGTAGCACCCACGTGCTGTGCTCAATTTACTCATTCCCTCTAGCTGACTGAGGGCAGCATTCTCAGTTTGTAAATTGTATATACTAGGGCAAAAAACACGGTTATATCTATAATTGGTTGCCACTAAAATTAAACATTCATATTTAGGACCTTTCAGGTGTGCAATATTGCAGGGATGGGATTATGCATTGAATATCAAAGAATATATATATATATTTATATTACTATCTGTATGATCTCAATAGTACGATCACAATCACTCTCACATACAGAAACTCCCAGCAACATATAAACGTGCTTCGAGGATGGTATAGATAATATTACCTAATGATTTCAAGATGTCCTTTTACTTTTCTATCTATTTCATGAAAAGCGGTTTTTATCCAGTCGTCCCCAGTCCACAAATTTTAGAGACCTCACATGGGATGATTTCCCAAGTCCCCATACCATCTACGGTGAAGTCAAATGGGGTGACGCTAACATGCAAAACCAAATGGATGTTTCCTAAAATGATACCCCCGTATTTTTCCAAGTCATTAGATCATGACTTAGTATTGGAACTGCCATGGTTTTGGGGATGAGCACTAAAACATAGCTTTATCCACATATATAATCAACGACATGGTAATTCACACACAACAAAAATAGTAGAGTATAATATTTTGTTTTAAAAGTCACTTTGGGGTTACTATAAATGGAATTAGAAAAGAAACCTACCACGCTTTTCTATATTCCACTATGAAAATTAATAAATGTTGTTTATATATATATATATGTATGTATATTATATTATAGATTAAAAATCATATAATCTGAATAAACAAACCATTTGTCGTCTATAATTTTAGACATATCTCACTGTGATCTTTTTGCCGCCGAGAAACGCTGGGAGCCTCGATCATGGGCAGCAAGCGACCAACCAAGACCATGATCTCAGCTGCCTCCCGGCGAAATTTCGGTGGTTAAACCTGGGAGTGAATTTAAGGGGTGTTAGAAATATGAATTAAATAAATAAATAAATATATATATATATATATATATGTATGTAAATAAATGGAATATATATATATATATATATATGTGTATATATACTGTATATGGATTGCATCAAATGCCTGGGCTGGCGTTGCGTATATATATATGTATGTGGGTGAATATACATATGTATATATATATACATAGATAGAAAGATAGATAGATAGATAGATGGATTTTATATAATTATATTTATATATGGATTATAGATATGGCTATATCATGGAGATATGTCCTATGGGTTCTCCCTATGCATGTAGTTATATATATATATTTAATTTTGTATATACGGGTCAGCAACCGTGTATTTGGGGGGTTCTTAAAACTGGGGGTACCCAAAGTCACCATGGTTGTTTCAATACTGAAATGGTCTAATGACTTGGATGATTTGCGGTACCCCTATTTTAGGAAACTCCCATGTGGTGCGCGATTGAACACACACATATATATATATATATTTGTTGATCTAATAAGCAAGCAGCCAAATACTATAAGCGATTGCCAATTGTCTTAACACATGAGCCGTTGTCAAAACTCATTGCCTTCGCTAAGTTCCCAAAAAAAAGGTATCATTTTTTGTTGGGCCCCTATCGCTATCCATGTTTTGGTAAGAAAGAGGAAAGGAAGAGGAAACGAAAAGGAAAAGGAGAGGAAATGAAGAGGAAAGGAAAAGGAACGGAAAAGGAAAAAAACCAGGAAAGAAACAGGAAAGCAATAGGAAAAAACAGGAGGAACGGAAGGTGCGACTGTTTACATACGGCAGCAAACAGCATTTTGTCGACGGTTCAGCAACAAAACAGTGGAGATTTCACCAGCAATTTGGGTCAGATCTTTGGGGAAATACCTCATTTTTTACATAATTTTATTGAGAAACTCGGATGGTGAACTATGAACTCGTTCTAGGGCATAGTGATATGATAGAATTGTCGATTAAATTGCCGGCTCATATATACTGTACATAAAATATACTGTACATAGTACACACACATATATATATTATATACCTATGTATATATATATATAAATATATATGTATATATTTATGTATATATATGTATATATATATATATGTATATATATATGTATATATATATGTAAATATATATATATGTATATATATATGTGTATATATATATGTATATATATATATATGTGATATATACATATATGTATAAGTATACAATGCGACAGAACATTTTACCGGATGGCTTGCCAAATAAATATACAAGAAAGGCCCTCGAAACGATAGGTGAGTTGGTTTATCTAACTAGGGTGGATATATGTATATATATATATATCACTCAAGCTGGATGGGTGAAACTAAACCAAGTTATAGATGGTAGGCAATCTTATGCGGCAACTTTATCCATATAAATTCATTGGGTAAGAATTAGGGAGGAAGGGTATTATCCTCTATGATAGTTTGCAAAACCACTATTGGATCTCTACATGGATCTACCCTCTGGTAAACTAACATAGCTATTGAAAATTGCCATTTATAGTTGCATTACCCATAAAAACTGGTGATTGTCTATAGTTATGTTAGCTTACCGGAGGGTACATTGTACCCGTGAGATCTAATATGACTCAATGCATCACAAGCAGTGGGCGGGTTCGTGAGTGCCATGGATCACTGGTTGCTGTGTTTGAAAAAGGCTATACTGGGGGCAAATCCCACACTGCTTTTTCATGCTTTTTCGTATTCCGTAGATTCTTTCATTTTTGGGACCCAAGTCACTGGGGGAGATCCCCTTGCCCATGTTGGATTTTGGGATGGCCAATTTTCAGACAAACCCAATGAAACTTGCCAACTGAGAAAACGAAGCCAGCTGCCATCCCTTCAAACATGGCTGAACTGGCCGATTTCTCAGAAATTGTAGCGGTTCTGACTTTCAAAGCCTATGGATCCAGCCGTTCCAAGTAGTTGGGCCATGATTTCTGATCTTAAAAGACGTCGTCACTCAATCTGCGGCTTTGCAGGGGCTTCATTTTTTGCCTACCCGAATACATCAAATCTTCATCTATCGATCCACGTATTTGGAGCACATGTTTCGAATATCTTAAATGCATATGTTGATCGCATGTGGCAAGAAAAACAAAAACAACGCATGATTGATGAACTGAACTGAAGTGGTTGAAGAATGTTGAAGGGTCCAAGCAGAGAGTAATTCCACTCCAAACTCCAAAGTGATATCAGATACCGCCCTATACAAATGCGTGCTTAGGAAGGTGTTCATTTTTGAGTTCCATAAATTCCGGAACTTCATATCAGGGATATTAGGAGTATACTTGGTGGTTCATCCTGCGAATGGTATATAAGTCTAAGTCTGTCAAACCACACGTACAGTACTCCCTTCAACCCCCCATTCATACTAAACACCCCCGAGAAACCATGGTTGATAAAACAAACACACACACAGATATATATATATATATATATATATATATTTGGATACAATGGGGGTGCTCAAAAAACTGGGGGATGGGATTTGAAGTGGATTAACCCTACTTTAAGTGGATGAATCATTAATCCTACTTCTCTCCGCTACGATTCCTGGCTATTTTTTGCCACCTAGAAATCTCCACGTCCTCCCAGCGCGTGCTTTCGGCGCCTGGATGTGATTTGATCCGTGAGAAGTAAATTTCAAGGCAAGGACATTGAAGAGCTGCTGGTAGATGATGCGAACGCTCTCAAAATCCTTAGTTCTCTTTATTTGAAGGGATAAGCATGGAAAATTAATGCGACTGGCTGATATTTGTTTGTGATAAGTCTCTTAATGGTGATGAAAGAACAATCGTTAGATGTATAAATACATAGCAATCATTATCTATCAAATATAGTCCATATGCTCCATGCATGCCGTCCATATTTACCTACATAACCGCCTAGTTGTGACACTGGTACAGCATGTTTCCTGAAATATCCAGAGGACATCATGGTTAGCTCATAGATATTTCTACCCTAGGGCTTATACAGAGAAACATGTGAAAAACACATGGGTTCCCGTTCGGAACATGATCTACAATTATGGTTGGAAAACCCCACATCTGTGTTAGTTTACAGGAGGGTGCCAATAGATCCAGGCTACAAAAACTGCTAGAGATTGAGCAGTCAAATGGCGCCTTTTTTTTTTCGGTCCCTCTTTCAGGATGGGACAGGGTGATGCTGATCAGCAGTGGGATCGGAAGGTTCACTCAGAGATGTTGGCCAGCTATGTGGACAAAGGTTATATTCAATTACCCTCTGGTTATGACTAACAGTTCGCCATGGTTTTTCGATGGCCCTAATCGAAATAGCAGGGTACGCAGTGAAGGAAGGCAAAAAGCATGCAGGCCCACAGCCCCAAAAATGGGTCCGCGTCGCAGCGCAAGCCAAAGGAACGTTTCAAAAGGTGCAGGGATGCCAGTGCTGTTCTGCAGCAAACATGACTGCCACAAGCAATGCTAAGACATGCGTACCGCCAGCGGCAGTATACAGGACCCTAGGCGCAACCCCCGGCACCCCCAGATATCAAAGTTGACTTACTTCCGCACTCCGCAAAGCTACACCAGGAAAGGCAGCAAGACTAGCTTTTGCGAGTGGCAACGTTGATTCCTGGGGAGCGGGGCCATGTTTGCGCGTGCATATCTACATACATCACGCGGAAGCAGCGTTAAATTAGCAATTCGTATTGGCTTGGCCGCAAAACTACTAAGCATGTGCTCAAAAGCTACTAAGCACGGTGTCGCATTTCGTATTGGCTTGGCCGCAAAGCTACTAAGAATGCGTTCAAAAGCTACTAAGGACGATTTCGCAATTCGCATTGGCTCGGCCGCAAAACTACTAAGAACATGCTTCAAAGAATAAAAGAAACAGTATCTTCTTCTTTTCTTGAATTTTGAGAGACATTCTTAGTAGTTTTGCGTCCAAGCCATTGTGATTTGCAACTCACGCCTTAGTAGTTTTTCATGAACTACTTAGTAGTTTTGCGTCCAAGCCATTGTGATTTGCAACTCACGCCTTAGTAGTTTTTCATGAACTCCTTAGTAGTTTTGCGTCCAAGCCATTGTGATTCGCAACTGGTGCTTTCCTAGTTTTTCGCGATATGCTTAGTAGTTTCACGTCCAAGCCATTGCGATTTGTACCTCATGCCTCAGTAGGCCTTTTACTAAGGCTTTGGGGGCGCTTCTTCTCAAAGCCTAGGTGGGCCCAAGGCCCCAAAACCGGAGCCTCAAATAAGTGGTAAAGCAAGCGCCTCGGGCATGTACCCTCGGAGTATCACGGATATGTGCTGCTGTCAGCTTGCGTCGGCAGTAGCACACTTGCTGCCCGCATTGACTAGCTCCTGTTTGTGTTTTGTGGCCCCAAAACAGGGGCCAGATTCTGGACCCAAAAATGGGGCCACAATACTAAAATTAGCAGCCCAGCTTCCAAATGTGTGGTCCTAATTTTGGGCCCATGGTGTATGCGTTTTGCCTTCTGCAAAGAGCGCGTTGAGCTGCGACAGGTTGCATCTTCCATTCATGTTTTCTTGTGCTTGGTGCCAGGATGCTGGTTTCACATGCAGGGTACGCAGTGAAGGAAGGCAAAAAGCATGCAGGCCCACAGCCCCAAAAATGGGTCCGCGTCGCAGCGCAAGCCAAAGGAACGTTTCAAAAGGGGCAGGGATGCCAGTGCTGTTCTGCAGCAAACATGACTGCCACAAGCAATGCCAAGACATGCGTACCGCCAGCGGCAGTATACAGGACCCTGGGCGCAACCCCCGGCACCCCCAGATATCAAAGTTGACTTACTTCCGCACTCTGCAAAGCTACACCAGGAAAGGCAGCAAGACTAGCTTTTGCGAGTGGCAACGTTGATTCCTGGGGAGCGGGGCCATGTTTGCGCGTGCATATCTACATACATCACGCGGAAGCAGCGTTAAATTAGCAATTCGTATTGGCTTGGCCGCAAAACTACTAAGCATGTGCTCAAAAGCTACTAAGCACGGTGTCGCATTTCGTATTGGCTTGGCCGCAAAGCTACTAAGAATGCGTTCAAAAGCTACTAAGGACGATTTCGCAATTCGCATTGGCTCGGCCGCAAAACTACTAAGAACATGCTTCAAAGAATAAAAGAAACAGTATCTTCTTCTTTTCTTGAATTTTGAGAGACATTCTTAGTAGTTTTGCGTCCAAGCCATTGTGATTTGCAACTCACGCCTTAGTAGTTTTTCATGAACTACTTAGTAGTTTTGCGTCCAAGCCATTGTGATTTGCAACTCACGCCTTAGTAGTTTTTCATGAACTCCTTAGTAGTTTTGCGTCCAAGCCATTGTGATTCGCAACTGGTGCTTTACTAGTTTTTCGCGATATGCTTAGTAGTTTCACGTCCAAGCCATTGCGATTTGTACCTCATGCCTTAGTAGGCCTTTTATTAAGGCTTTGGGGGCGCTTCTTCTCAAAGCCTAGGTGGGCCCAAGGCCCCAAAACCGGAGCCTCAAATAAGTGGTAAAGCAAGCGCCTCGGGCATGTACCCGCGGAGTAGATGGTTTACGGTTTACCTATTAATAGCATGGTGATTTTCCATGGCAAACTGTGAATGTCATCACCAGAGGGTATCATTCAAGTCCTCCATCGGCCCATAGGATGTTTTCCAGGCTTGACCATCGGCCGACCGCCCCATCGGCCCAGCGGGTGTCATTGATCTCCTAACATGTCGACCATGTGACTGTTCCATTCAAATTTCTCAGCATCTAAAAACCAGTGCGAAAGGGCCTTCGCCCATTCCCTTGCTTCCTCTCCGCAAAATGAGAAACCGTTATCATTCAGGGATAAGCTATCTATACACCCATCACAAAATGAGACAACCATACAGTACAGACTTTCGTTATGCAAAGAATGCTACACCAAGGCGCTGTCTGAAGGGATTCAAGCATCTCTTTAGAGAAGATCAAACCTTGCCTTAGATTCTAAGGCTTAGATTCTAAGGGAAATTATGATATAAATAAATACACACATATATATATATATCTATTTATTTATTTATATATATATAATACTATGATTCTACAATGCGGGGCCCCCAAACAAAATCGCTAAGTTGGTGAACATAACTCCAATTTCACTATGGTTTATGATATGTGTAACTATAGTTAATGGGGCTTACAAAACAACAAAAAGAGAAAGGGGGCCACATTCCAAGGTTTCACTTATGCTACTCTCTGCTTTGACCTTCTAAGGTTTCACCATCATAATTACCATAAATCTCTGGATGAGTCTTTTAGATTCCACAGGAATTTATGATATTTCATGATGATAACGTTATCCTCTGGTCTCCCCTATAAATTGGACAAATCAATGACATGTAAGGAAGAAATCATGGGATGTCCCCTTTAAATGGAAATCCCCATGTTTGCAAAAGAGTCTATTGGTTTTCTTAGAATCAAACATGGCTGGGACATCCCCATAGTCATGGCGGCTTGATGGGAAAATCCATCGAACTAGAGAACGGAGATTTTCCATATGTTAGTTTACGGGAAAGTAGTTGCCAGAAGGCAACCGATATTTGGGATGATTCATATTGATTCCCCTGACTTCTGGCAAACCTTGGGTCTAAGATCAACAAGTCATCGCTGCACTGGTCATACGTAGTCTCCACACCCAAGTTGCAATTCCTAGGCCAAACTGGGTCAGGGATCCAACTCCACAGACATCCAAAGCTGGTCGATCTGGATACGAAACTTGACCCTCTCCGTCTGAACACATAAACCCCTATCCCAAATAAAAGTTGTCATGTGATTCCCCAAGTTTTCCCAGTTTTCCCTAGTTTTTCTCCAAGATTTACCAAGTTTTTCGCCCCAGCTTAGGCCCCTGCCCCAGCTTCTCCCAAAATTCGGGATCTGGATAAATAAAGAGTTCATCCGCCTGGCACGGCGTGGTATGGCTATAACAGGTGATGGCTGCAGTGCCCCAGCTAGGGCACAGATATATAACAGTTAGAACTGGTGAAACAAAAACATCGTTTAAGTGATATTGTTATATTGCTCACCTTAGTTGCAGGAGTTGTTTCATCCCATTTATAACGTTGCCATCACTGTTGTAAATGGAACAGTTGGCAACTTATATTGTGCAATTCTACTAATTAATCAAGTGGGATTTGAATTTCCAACATGTTTGGCAATTCGAATGCGGGATTCACCTAATGCCAAAAACCTACCATTTCTGGTTCATTTTGGTCATGCTGGAGAGAGTTTATTGTTGGGTCTACCAAATGAGCGAACATGTTGGGTTTGTAGGGACAAAGTGAATTACCAATTTAATGATGGTTCGTCTATATTGTTCATGTGACTTTGGTGCCCGTAGTGAATTGATACCAAATATTGATAGTTTGAGTTTTCTCGCTGCGGCATTCACATACGCATACATACATACATACATACATACATATATATATATACATATTATGTAAAGGATTTTGAAGATAGGCAAAAAAAACTCGAATGAGTCCAATGAGTCTTTCTGAAGCTGCCAAGCGCTATCTGAAATCCACCGGGATCACTGGGCAGGATCTAAGTCTGTACGCCTGGTGGCTATGTCTAAGGATTCCCCATTTGCAGCTGATAAACTACTTTTTGATACTTGTTGTACGTTTCGATTTTCCACAAACAAAACCAGTTTGAGTATTTTGAATCTGTTCAGTGTTTACTGTCTACATCCGTTTACAGTATATAAATTTTGGATGCCTGATGGCACACCAACAATGCTTACGATGCTTCTACGCACTCACCACCGAGCAGATTGGCAGTTTCTTACAGCCCGCAGCTATTGAGGCAAATTCTGCAGAACAATAAATGCACCATATATGCACCATACACCTCCAAGAGCTATCAAAACATCAAAAGGTTTAAAAAAGGAGCAATTGCGAGTCTGTCTGAACTTCGGGGATCAATCACTGCAAGATACGGCCAATAAAAAAAGGAAAATTGTGATCAACAACTGCCCTTCAGGCACGACCAGGTGATTTAACAAAACCACTTTCAGAAGGAAAATCACATACATTGACATGTTAACAAATAAGTGAACAAACAAATAAATAAAATAAATAAAAACAATAAAGCAACAATACATAAATATATACATATACATATACATATACGTATACATATACATATACATATATATATATATATGTGTGTGCATCAACATATATATATATACATAAACATAAAAAATATTTACATATACAAATATTGAAATATACATATATATATATATATATATGTAAATACACATATGTACATACATATATGTATATACACATATGTATAAACATATACATATACAAATACACATACATATAAATATAGATATACATGTGCATACATATGTAAATATATATATATATATATATACATGTATACATATATACATATATATATATATATACATACATACACATATACATATACATACATATATATATATATATATACATATACATATACATATACATATACATATGCATATACCTATACATATACATATACATATACAGATACATATGCATATACCTATACATATACATGTACATATACATATACATACATATATCTATCTATCTATCTGTCGATCTATCTATCTATTTATCTATCTATCTATCCATTTATCCATCTAATCTATCTATCTATCTTTCTATCTATCTCTCTATCTCTCTATCTATCTATCTATCTATCTATCTATATGGACCGTTTGCCATAGCTATGCTAATTGTCCAGCAGGCATGTCCGATAGGAAAATGATCTTCAAGATGCCATTTCGGGGTTCCGTGCTAAACATAGCGGATGTAACTCTGATGTATCTTTCAAACATGAAAAAAACACATCATCAGGCATGGCTTAATGAGTTGGTTTTTGCATGAGCCATGAAAAAAGTTTGTGATACTAGTTTGTTGACCATGTTAACAAGGATTCCAGCCATGTGCCACATACGTTTTTTTGGACAGTTGGATAGACCCTAAATAACCAAATGACGATAATTTGGTTCGTTAAACCACATGTATGTATATACAAATATACAGGGAATATACATACAATGACAATGATGGTGATGATGGTGATGATGATGATGATAATGATGAAAGTAACCCACTGAAATGAAACAAGACTTGGTTTTGTTTCATGGATGCCCACACATTGCGTACCTCAAGATCCACTGAATCATCAACCATGTAAGGTACTACAGTATATCCGTCGATACCTCGGCACCTCCATGGCTTCATCATGATTTTCCCTATTCAAATGGCCATATGGGGATGTATCAAAACCCATGGAATCCCCTGTAGATCCCTGTAGCGAACTACATCAAAGTAGCGGTTTTATGGAACATTCACCAACAACTGGTGACAGGTATTGATCGATAGCGGCTTGCCAAAAGAGTAGGATACCCCGTTCCATCCACTGGTTCATCATGGGTTTCCCCATTAAATGACCAGAACTGAGGTGAATTTCCCTCATTTCAGACTGACCCACATATCATGTTTGTCAGTTGAATGTTGCCTGTATATACCATGATATAATTGCAATCATGTGGTGTATATACCCTCTGGTAAACATACAAGCAGCTATTGAAAATGGCCCATTTATAGCTGATTTACCCATTGAAAATGGTGATTTTCCATAGCAAACTGTTAGTTTCCCAGAGGGTATATATATGTATATGTATATATATATATATAAATTTACCCCATATTGGTGATCTATTCCCATCTGGCTGAATTTAATAAGACATAAGTCACTCACCTGGAAAAAAAGATCCCAATTGAATTGAATATGGTTCCTCTTTGATGGACATCGATGATTGTCCCCAATAAGTTTCAGCAATAAAAAGCCATATGTATATATGTCATATATATATATAAACCCCATCAATTAGAACATAATCTTACTACTGTACCCTATGGTAAACTAATGTAACTATGGAAAATCACAATTTTTAATGGGTAAATCAACTATAAATGGGCCATTCTCAATAGCTGTTTTTGTATGTTTACCAGAGGATAAAACATAGTCTTACTAATGTATTCCAGTTTCCATATATCTTCATATTGTTGGTGATCTTACCTCGTTTAAAGGATCAATGACCAGCCCATGAAGAGATATAATAGTTACTAACCCAGGAAGGAAATTTATTTATATATTGCAGTTATTGCAAACATATGTTCCCAAAGGTCATATTTGTTAGTAAAATGATGCATAAATATTATATGTATCACTTATATAACACATTATATACAGTACACATCCCCATCGTGTTGGGATATATTTCTTTTTATATTTAGATTATTCTTCCGTTCTCACTGGCAATCATCATGGAACATACATATATATATATACATGAAGTAACACCCAGATATACCGATTATATTGTATAATCCAGTTATTAAGTTACCATTAATCTGGGTAAATCATACTAATTCACTAACCTGAAACAAGGTCATTTAGGGATGATTCTATCAACATAATTCTTGCTGCTTTTCCCCATTCAATGAAAATTTCAGGACCCTAAAATGGAGCTAAAAACAAAACATATTTTTGGGGCATATCCCCTGAAAAATTTTCGCCCTCAGGCCTTAAAGAAATGGGTAGGGTACCTCTCCGCCCGGGGCCTTGACCGGAACCAGCTTGGAGCGCGCGTCCTCGGGGCACATGGCCAAGGCCGCAGCGAAGCTGGGCTGGTGCAAGACGCCTATAGGAAGGAGATGGACGAGATGGACGGTCCGTGCAAAATGCTGGAGGAATGGGGATTTTCATGGTGTGGAATAGTGGATTTATAGGGATTAATGGTGTCTGGTTGGTGGTTTCAACCTTTCTGAAATATTAGTCCGTTGGGACTATTATTCCCAATATATGGAAAAATGTTCCAAACCACCAACCAGGTGTTATAATGGTGTTCTCAATGGTGCTTGGAATGGTGCTTGGAATGGTGCTTTT